CCATGCATCCACCACTCCTCACTCTCAATGGAGAAGCTTATTGAGCAACCCATGAAGCACTGGGCAGAGTAGAAGAAGGTTCTTTCCTATGTCATGGATTGGTTCGCTGGCAGAACGCTTCTCCCGCAGACTGACAAGGTCATCTTCTTGTGTAGGGCCAAGCTCTAGTCAGGCTGGACAGAAACCTCAAAACCTCAAACTTGCCAACAGAGGATAGCTGGCTTTTGAGTGACACCTTGAGCAAAGAGGTGAGAGTGGTAATCAAGCAGTCACTGGTGCGTCTGGTGTTGGGCTCCAATGATTCGCGGGCAGGTTGCAGCAAAGGCAATCCAAATCAGCTCATTTATCATTCCCAATCCACGCTTTGTAACCCATGGTGGATGATTGAAAAGACATCCTGATTATGGATGATCTCACTGCTGTGCATATAGTCAGTCATATTCAGCAGCCCTGCAGATCATACAACCAATGGAGAGTCCTACGGTTGGTCAGATGGGCAGTCGAGATCATCGCAACTTGTTTGAAGGCATTCACAGAGGAAGCAAGGTCCTCAGTAACCTCTTGAATAGCTTTTTGGCGCTCCTCCTCCTCCTCATGCTCCTCCTTGAGAAGCTGCTTGAAGAGTGCCTTGCGCTGAACAGGGCACTTGGCATCTTTGATTGGGGCGACTGGCTGCTAGGAAGCGAGGGGTTGCTCCTCCTCTTCCTCACGCTCCTCCTTGAGAAGCTGCTTGAAGAGTGCCTTGCGCTGAACAGGGCACTTGGCGTCTTTGAGTGGCGCAACTGGCTGCTAGGAAGCGAGGGGTTGCAGCCTTTTGAATCGCCTTTTGGGGCTTGGTTTCCTCTTGACGCACCTCCTCGAGGAGCTGCTTGAAGAGTGCCTTGCGCTGGACGGGGCACTTGGGGTTGGTGAGTGGCGCAACTGGCTGCTTGCAATTGGCATTGAGGAAGCGAGGTCCTCGGCGACCTTCTGAATCTCCTTCTGGCAAGGGACTTCCTCCTTGCGCCCCTCCTTGAAGAGGTTGTCAAAGAGTGCCTCTCATTGCATGGGCACTTGGAGTTTGGAAGTGGTGAGACTGGCTGCTTGCAATTGGCATTGAGGAAGCGAGGTCCTCGGCAACCCTCTGAATCTCCTTGGTACATTTTACCTCCTCCTGTTGCTTCTACTTGAAGAGCTTCTCAAAAAGCGCCTTGCATTGAACAGGGCACTGGGGGTTCTTCAGTGGAGAGACTGGCTGCTTGCAATTGGCATTGAGACAAATGGGAAAGAAAGCAAAGAGTTGCATCAGAAATTGTTCAAGTCTGTTGCGCATTTCCAATTCTATATTTCATGCAATGATTCTCTTGATGATGCCGCGCTTGGTTGCTTATGTATAAGACATGTCACATCTGGTATCAAGCTCAACAACACTTGTGAATCACTTGGGCGCAAGCCTCCTTGCAGCAACCAATGATGGTGTCCGCAAAATGGAGCATGATTGGGTGTGGCTTGTTGGTTCTCATCCTGGCAATCCCAGAGATGGTGTCCTTTTTTGGAGGGCTGAAGAAGCAGCGTTACTGACAAGTCAGGGAAGACTCCGAGGTGGTATGAGATTGGCAAGAAGGAAGCACAGGCTTGGATAAGCGTCAGCGGACAACCTCAAGCTCTGTGTCATGGCAGCTGAGCTTAATTAGGCCATGCCAGAGCACCAGTGGTCATCTACCAATCCTTCTTAGCCAAGAAGCGCAGTAAGAGTAGAGACAAGATCACCCACCATCTTGGGTCCCAGCTCATCCGCGCTTTTTCTCTATCGCTTGAAAATGACAAGCACTGCTGCCGCTGTTTTTCACCTCAAGAAGTTCTCATGGTGAAGGAAGCTCTAGGCAAGAGGGAGTTGGATCTCATTTGCCTGATATTGAAGAGCGGTGCGGGATACAGGAGCCGGCTGGGTGAGACAGAAGAGGAGAAGAGAGGGTGAGTATACTGATGGTAGTCGTACCTCCAAAACGCAGCAGGGTTAGACCTCCTCTCCATCTTCCTGATTCTCGTTGACCTCCTCAAGATGCTCAGAGTGAGGCCGTTGTGAGGGCACAACGGCAGGTACTCCCACCATAAGCTTCTCTCCTCCTGGTCCTTGTTGTCCACCTCAAGAAGCTCAGAAGAAGGCCTCCTCTCCGTATTCCTGGGACTTCTTGTCCTCCTCAAAATCCTCAGAAGGAGGCTGAGTGTATTGTTGGTAATTGTACCTCCAAAACGCAGCAGACTTCCCATGTGCTTGCTGCTGACCCTACCACGTCTGAGAGCACAAGGACAGGTAATGCCACCACAGATTTACTACTCCCCCTTTTCCCTCACCTCCTCCTCCTCCTCCTCCTCTTCCTCTTCCCTTCCCCCTGCTCTCTCTCCTCCTCTTCCTCCTTGAGATGCTCAGACGAGGTCAGCTTCTTGTGTAGGGCTCAGCTTGAGGCAGGCTGGACAGAAACCAGCACGAAGCAGATTTCGATAAGATGAGTTCGCTGACAATTTGCAGAACAGAAAGCGACATCTTATCAGAGCATGACAAGATCATTGAGTATGTAGGAAACCTTTCCATCACTGAGGAAGAGCGTAATACCTTGGTTCGCATGACAGCCTCAGCACAAAGCAACGTTACAAAGCTTGCAAACACTTGCGTCCAGCAGATCAAGTCCAATGATCAAGCAATTAAGCAATGGAGAGAATGGACAACAGTCCTACCCGATGTGGTGGGTAGATCTGCTGATAAAGAGGTTGTGCTTCTGATCGATGACTGACAAGTGATCTGATGTAGGGCAAAGCTCTAATCAGACTAGGTAGACACTTGAAGGTTCCGAACTTGCCCACTGAGTTCACCTGGCTTTTCAGCGGCACGCTGAGCAAGGAGATTCGAGCGGTCTTAAAAAAGCTCTTGGTATGTCTGATGACCTGGTTCCACTCCGTGAGCATAGCACATGACTGACTTTATGTCCTTTTACTCCTCAGGCTGGCTGTGACAATATCGATGGCGACATCGATCTTGAAGCCGCTCGAACTCTCATCGAAGACATCAAGTCCTCGGCTGGCCCTTCAAAGTACGCAACTGAAGGCG